CTGTCATGCTGATTTGGACTCGCTGGCTAACAAACGAGATCACTTCACCAACTTTAAAATGTCATCCCCAAAAATAAACATCGGGCCAGCTGTACACAATGCGTGCAGTTCCAGTGGAGTTATTGTAGGTGGCAGAGTCTAGCCTGACTGTTGGCTTTAAAAAGCATGTTTACAGCGCAGTCGTGTTTTTCAGCTCTGGCCTGTGCAGTCATGTATGATCCCTGCGATAAAATCCTTCAGCCAAGCATTTTTTTTGAAACATTAATCCTTGGCAACCTTTTAAAAGAAACCACAAGATTGTTCAACAACATTTGTTTTAAAGATGTTTGTAGAAGCTTTATTTTCCCTTATCCAAACTGACATGGTAGCCAGCTGTGACACAGCGTTATCATCGGCTAACTTCGTTTACTTTATCTTAATACTGACCTTGAGGGGGGGAAAAAAGCTGTTGACAAAACGGTGTCACTTCAAGGTCCGTTTAGTATCTCTTCAGCTTTCAAACGATCCTTATCTGCAAGGAGAGTGGAAGTGAAACCGTTTGTGATTATTAGTGTTATTAGTTTTCACGTTAAAAATACAGAACAACAACTACAACCAGTTTTTCACCAAGAGGATCTGTTGTTTTTCTTCCTACATGACAGTAAACTTATTTACATTTTGAATATATTATTAGATAATAAAAGAATTTATAGGGAAACACTTGTCTCTACTACAGTAAAGCTACATTAAATGGTTATATTTATATTTTAAATGTATGTATTTTACAGCTTAATTTATGTGAAAGAGATTGATCTTAGTGATGGACCTATAGAGTGTTAAACCTAACTCTGCTATGGTCTGGACCCTGTTTTGGTTCATTCTTATCTCTCCTTTAAGGCACCATTTAAGCTCTAGACCAACTCACTGCATGATACTAGCTAGCCAAATTTAAGCTTTGAGGTATTTTTTCATTTGAAAGCAAGGATTTAATTAAGACTATCAGTTTTGCACACTTGAAAACGTACAGTACCAGAGGATTGTTTTTACTACTTCTTCATCATTTACCTGCTCTCACCTCACTCTATCCCTGTCATCCTCCTTTGTGACACCAACTCTCTGCATGTCCCCCTTCACAACATCGATGAATCCTCTGTGATCTTCCTCTTTTCCCTTTCCTGGCAGCTCCATATTCAACATCCTCCAGTATATCCACATCCTCTGCACATCTGCAAGTCTCACCCTGAGCATTTTCAATTCATTTTTAATCCTAAATTTCAGCTCTGCCTCCTGTCTTTTCAATAACACCTGGATTATTATTTTTTTTAAACAGTTCTTACCCTATAGGCATCATCATGTGTTTCATTCGCTCTGTACTTTTGTTTATCAGATGACGCCTTTATCAACCCTCAGCTGGCTAAAATCTTTGAACGTGTTCGACAGAGTGCAGACTTCATGCCTACTAAGCAGATGATGGTACAGTATAGAGAGCGCTGGCAAACTATACAAATGAAGTTACATTTCTCCAGTTAATTTTTTTTCTTTTTCTCTCTACAGAAAGTCATTTACAATGATCTCGGCCCAAACTGGAGGGACAAACTGGAATACTTCGAGGAGAGGCCATTCGCAGCCGCGTCCATTGGTCAAGTCCATTTAGCAAAGA